TTCTCAACAGGATGTTGCAACTGGTTTTAGATGTTGCTTTGCTTTGCTTATTTTGCATTAGAAAAGTACTTGCAACATCCAGATACTCACACACACATCCACTCACACACTCTCTAGCTGTTTGTGGGCATGTGTGCACATATTTGCTCGACTTTGTTTACGCTTGCAGCTTGAGTGAGGGGGAGAGTAGCTGCTGCTGTTGAGCACCCTAGAGCTGCATCTCTTGCAGGAATTTTGCATAATTTCGTTAGTAAAAAGTATGCTTTTGTCTGTGCTGGCAGCAAGGGAAAGTTAATCAATGGGAAAAACAGAATACACTCGACCTGCTACACCAGTCCTTGATTTCACAGACTCGAATATCGTATACATCTCTTTTTTCAACTACACCACTTCCTGCAGCCGCTTCTGTGTTAAGTTTCGTGCTCAAATTTTCGTTTTCTAATTTCTAATTTAATTAGGCGCATGCCACATAGCGCAGCTTCCAAAGCCCAACGCAATCAGTCGCGCACACACACATACACAACATGTGTCCCTGTTGATCTGCACACAAATATGCAAACGCACAATCATACAAACAAGCAGCACACACACACACAAACAAGCACGTCCTCACACACTCACATCTGGTATTTACATATGAGCAACATTTTCATTACGTGCAACACCCTCTCCCCAAACGAAGAGTCCTTGTTGCCATATCCTCTGGCCCCGTTTCATGCAACGACAATTTTTCATATTTCACAGTGGCGACAACCCATTTGGCAGTGCTCTCCTTTATTCCGCGCACTTTTTGAAAGTGGATAATCGGGGTATACAGATTCCCTTCAAATGTATGTAAGAGGCATGTTCATGACGAGGATGGACAACCAAGTGCTTTCATCTATATCTATCCTCCTATATGATATACATATTTTTCAATGGCATCAAGTCGTTGACAAGTATCGCAATTATAATCAAATTAAAATAATTCTATAATAATAAACCAGATATTTTATTATAACTCATTAACTAGGCGATACATACATGTTTCAGCTTATTGTATACAGCGCATATAGCTCTAGTCCAGTTAGTACCTACATCTTAAATGTAGACCTATTCATGCATATGCTGTGTACTTTGACAACATGCGAGGTATCTACGTCAGGAGTACACAATACTTGTTTTCCGATACATTTATTCTGGTGCAGAGCTTAATTGTTGCACGAGTGGCAGGAGCTGGTTGCCAGTGAGTGCGATGTTGTTGTAGTGATTGGGTGCGTTTTCATCGATTATGCTTTTGGATTATAATTATTTAAAAAGTAATTAAAAGTCGCCATAGGCAACTGTTGCACAGCTAAGCTTTCGCCACCCACAAGTCAAATATTAAAGAGGCGTTGCAATGCGGAACTCTTGCTGCTCTGTCAAATAGTTCAATTTTCACTCGCAACCCACGCACACAGACACACAAGCTCGCACACACTCGCATGTTAGGTGCAAAGATGCGGGCTTCTCTGATGCCAACTGCACTCACTTATTCGCATGGTTCTCACCGCCCTTTGGGCTGCGCGACCCTTCGACGCCATAAAAGCCCATTAAACACATTTGAAATTGAAAAGTCATGCTGACTCTACATTTGGACTGTAACTCACCCATGGCCTCACTTTCCTTTTTTTGGTATTTGCATATCGCCCACACAGTTTACATAATGTTTTACATAAATTTGACTTTTAATACTCAAGTTTGCCTATCCATTCGCTCCGTCCGTTCCTATTTCTCTCTCTCCCTCACTTTTTCTCGTTATATTTTTGTTGCTCTATCATTCAGTCTGTCCGGCTGTCAGTCTGTTTGTCTGTTGGCAGCCATTAGGCAAAAGCTTTTATCAGCTGCAGTCCCCAATAGTAGCTGCGATAGCAAACTTCGATTACTCGAAGTCTGGCAAAGGATTTAATCCTAGACAAGTAAGCTAAACAAAAAATATGGCAATTTCAAAAAGCACCAATTAAATACACACACAATCATGCACACAGTTTCGAGAATGTACAAAAATATATTGAAGAAAAATAAGCTACACGAAGAGAGAGACACTCTGAATACTTAAGATATATATATATAATAATAATTAATAATTATAACAAAATATTTACAATTATAATTGTGTGTTTATTAATCAACACATCACGAATAATTGTCAAAATTGGAATTTTAATTCAAAAAGCTATTATATTCTTCATTCATGAATTTTCATTTTTTTAACTTAAATCAAATTTAATTTGAATTAATGTCAATTGATTTTGTTTACATAAACAGCGTATATCGAATATAGGTTCTTTTCATTTGTGACTACAACTGCACCGTCGATCCCAGGAACATTTGTGTGAAAATAAAGGAGTCTTAATTTAAAGTGCGCCTTGAGTATGCTTAAAGGTTGAGTAAGACTTGACCTTAACTTAGGAGCTTATGCGTCATAAAATTCGTTCGGTCAAGCAAATGCGCCCACTATTTAGTATAATCTAATACAAACAAACACACACATAGTAGATATACACAGGATACGAGCCTCAATAATGGGCCTGACCATTATCCTGCATATAAAGTTGTTCATTTCCTTGCTGTTTGGGCTTTGATTTTCACAGGGACTCTGCCGTCATTTTGTATGCTGTGTAAGTTTTGCCAGCTTTGCCACGATCTTAACTTTTAGCCCCGCATCAATTGTTGTTATTGCCATTGTGTTGCATACATAATAAATTTTATGAAACGTTCGAATTTTTATTAAGCCCAATTTTTGGCACAGCTATAAAACGACAAATGGAACACTGTATCGCGCACAGAACTTTCCTCTCGCGCCTCCACATGTGTTGGCGTTAACAATAAAAATCGAATGTTTTATTTATGTGCTCTACGATTTGTAAAGATTTCTGCTTATGGCACTCTATGGCCGTGTGAAGCTGGTTTCTGGGATTTCATTTTTAATTTCTTTTTAACTACTTTTTGTAAGACCAACAAACAAAACTTTATTTGGAAAAAGAATTCGAATAAAATTCATTGAACCGACCGACCGACTAACTAGGCAACGAATTAAAGTCCAAATGTCAAGGCATTAAATACATTTGTTCAATAATATCTTACAACAACCTATGTTTCTATATGAATTATTTTTATATTGACATATTCCATTTGTATGAACAAAGTTTTTGCTTTGTTAAGTTATTGAAATACCTTTTTAATTAATTTCATGACAATTTATTGGCATGCAAGAGATCTCCAATATCATGTGTATTTGTGACATGAGAGTCATATCCATTTAATAACAACAAAAATTTGACAAAGCATAAACGTGGAAGTACGCACACTCATTGCCGAATAGAAACAATGTAATCATTTTTTGTTCTCTCTGTAAATTAAACAAGCACATAAATATTTTAAATGAAAACCGTGCGACTCACTGGCAAAAAGCAGCAGGCCAGCTGTTGATTTGGGCTTATTTTTTTCGTATTCGCATTGATCGGCGAATCGAAATGGTTATTTAACTGTTTGTTATTGTTGTTGCCCAACAATAAAATGTTTACAGAAGCGGCTGGGGGTGAATTTCTGTCGGTTCGACAGGAAATGTGAAAATGTTCTCAAATCATTCAAGCACAAAAATGTTATGCGAACTGCTTGCAAAAACATGCCAATGCCATTGGAATTAGGTGTGCCAGTCAGCCCCGTATATATTGTACACATAATACGCATTACGTATACGCAATGCGAGCTTGCGAACTTGACAACAATTGATTATAACTCAAGGCCCAGTTGATGAATGTTTCAAGCTCAAACAAACATGGGCCTTCGACTTGAATGGCGCATAATTGTATTACTTACCTGAGCTAGTGAGATTTTCAATTTAAGGACTCGATCGATAGGACTCGATTATTTATTGAGCACTCGCCCGATTGCTTGGTATTAAATATGCAATGCACTTTAATAAAAATAATCACTTTGTGCGTTAGCAGGTAAATGGCTTCAGGTATGTGCGCTGGGTAATTAATTTTCAATTATGCAATGTTCTCTAATGGACCATCAATGAGGTTAACCAACTAATTACAGTTCCCCATCTAGTTGCGTGGTATGATGTGCGACTGCCATTTGCCCGGCAGCGACTTGACCTAGTTCCATGCCAGCCTTCTAATGCACCTCAAGCATGCAAATGCAGGGCTCTGAATGCAGCCTCGCTTGTAGGAGAGCCGGTCGAAGGACTCGTAAACGTCATAATCGAAAGCAACTCATGAGGGCTCACGGCTCATTAACACGCTTCCCGCACACCAGACAACGCAGACAACTTGATTGAACTTCAATGGCCTGCGCCTGCCAGTGATATGGCTAGAGAGGGGAGTCTGTTGAGTCAGTGGCAGAGCTACGTCGAGATTAATGCTAATGTGACAACTTAATCGAAAGCCATTTATGAGTCATGTCAAGTGGTGGGGCACCGAGTCTCAGCCGCTTCCTGGCTGACTGTCATCTTTATGATGGCAGTCGATGTCAATGATGACAGCGCTCAAACGTAGGCAACAGAAAGGAAGTGGCAACCAAGCTATGGCTAACAGCTAGCATCTCGAACCATTACAACGACAAATACATAAAAAAAAAACACATTAAATATTTGCATTAATTTTTCTGCTATGATAAGTCAGCCGGTAAAAAATAACAACACATTTTAGTTAGAAATGTTCGATATAGAGATACTCTTTATGAACACGACGAGTATAAACTATCTATGTTTATCCAAGTGAAAGTAAGATTAATATAAATTATGCAGATTCGATTCAAATAGCTATCAGATAGAGTTAAAAAAAAAAATATATATATATATATATACGTGTCAGGGAGGGTATTATGTAACAATAAAATATAATTCACTTAAGATGTTTCGCTTGAACAAAGCCAAACAACATTGTTGCCCCATCTTTTATGTAGGGTATCTCCAGAGGAAGAGACAGAGCAAAACAGGGACAGGACGAGCATTTCATTCGTTTGGCACTTACCCGGCAAGCCCGATGTGATGCTGATAAGAAGCAATAGTTGCGCTATCAGCGCTTTGATGCTACCCTCGCTGGCGCTGGCGCTCCACCTTCCTTTGTTGCTGGTGCTCCTGTGCTGGTTGCTCATTTTGTGAGTCGTGCTGCTGGTTGCCTCTTATCGCTCAATGCGTTACTTTGTCGAATGACACAATGCTACTCACTCTTCCTTTTTGCCTTGCCTTCGAGTGGATGTTGAATGCTACGTACTTAACTTTTATTGCACGACACACACTACTTTAGCTTGTTACAGCTTACTTAGGTGGCGCCACCTAGGGTCCCTCGGATGCACAAAATATTTGTAACGCGCGTTTGGCTAATTTAGTTGCCTTGCATATGTTGGTTGTTCGTACTGGTTGTCTGAGAATAGTAAAAAATAAATAAAGTGCACGACAGCCCAAACATTCATCACAAATTAAAAATTAACAACAATTGAACAATTCAATCAACAATTTCAAAAGTCTTCCAAAAGTTTTTCTGTTTTGTTTTAATTGAATTTTTGAGGTTTTCCAATTGACACTTTTCGCACAGTGTGGCAAGTATATTTAAAATCGGATGGGCGAAGATTTGCATGTAACGGATATATAGGAGGTCTATTGTTATTATTATTTAAAGTTGCATGCGCTGTGTTGTTTTGCAATACTCAATCGTTTGTCCTGTTGCCACAATTTCACTTTGCACACTTTTTGCTTGTGTTTCGTTTCTCTGTTGGCGTTTTTAATCAGAAATTTACACAGTCACCGCATCGCGCGTCGCGGGCAAACAAATTGGCGGCGCTGTTGTTGCTGCCCTTGTTGTTGCAGTTGCAATTGTTGTATTTTTTATTTGTGTGTGCTGCAACTGCAGCGCAGCCAAATGAAAGCACAATGAAAATTTTCAATCAAAACTTTTTACACTCTTACTCTTGTTGCTATTTTAGTAGCGCTTTTTTTTCTTTTCGGTTCTCTCTGTCTCCCGCGCAATCTATCGCTTTCTCTGTCTGCTGCTTTTAAGCGCTCGTTAGCTGGCAAGATTTTTCTACTTCTTTTTGCACTTTTCTTTCGTTTTTTGGTTTTTTTTTTTTCAATTTTTAATGCAATTTCCACGCTTAACTGCACTTTTTGCCGCTTCGCCTGGCTGTTGCTTTTGCTGCCCCGTTTTATACAGCATTTATTTACACGGACACACACACACTCATACAGCGACAACAAACATTTACACACAAACAGCGACAGACAGATACAAGCAAAATATGCACACAATTTGCATTGCGATGTTTCTCTGTATTTGCAGCACTTTGTCCGTTTCTCTCGCTCTCCGTATCTTTGCCTCTGTCTCTGTCTCTATCTCTGTCGCTTTGCTTTGTTTTGTTTCCTGTTGCTCGCACAAATTCAAATTACTTTTGTCGTTATTGTTTGTGTTGTTATTGTTGCTTGTTCTCAATGTTGTTGTTGTAGTTGTTGTTGTTGCATGTCATGTTCATTTCTTCAAATCAGTTGGCAGTTGCGGCTGCTTGCGTCGACGTCATCAAGTTGTCGTCGCTTCGCATTGGACATGGCTCTGCGTGGCTGCCACAAGATGTTGCACATGCACAGCTTCGATTTGCAGCTCCACTTTCGTAATGCGACCACGCCTTGTGCATTTTTTACATTATGCCAAATGCAAACTGCCTGCAAGACAAATAAATGAAACAAAATTGAAAAACGTAATGAAGTAATCAAGACCGTAATGTAGTTCAATCAGTAATATATATGTAATTTTATATGGGTTAATACTCAGGACACATATATCAACACTTTGATAAGCTCTGTGGAATAATATATCTACATCGGCTCTGCATCTGCCACACAAGTTTTTTCCACTCAAAGTTACTTTGAAAACTATTTAAAATTGAAAGTCTTTATTTTCATAGACATTTTGTATACATATTTGCAATTTCCATTAACTTATAAAAACGACTTTGATATCAGGCAAGCAAAAAGCATTGCTAACCGAGATCGTAATACATATACACAACATTTTGAATATACTTCAGCCGCTGACCATAAGAGCAAGTTTTGTTCTCCATTTTGAGATGCCTGAGAGCCATTAAGCCTTACATGCATTATTTCAAGTGCTTAATACAAATTTTGATTCATAAAAAAAACTTTGATAAAAATAATTTTTGTTTTGTTCTGAACTCTTATTAGTTATTCCATTTAACAGAGAAAGTGAGCGTCATTCATTATAAATTAATGCTCTTATTTCACATACATGCACTCACTATGTATGTGCAAAAGCAATTATATAATGCTTAGGCATGTATTTGAGTTTGAGCTTTGGCTAATTTAAAATGTTCTTTGATGGCAACGCCTACAGTTTCATAATTTATAAGCCAGCTTTTCGCTTTAATTTTCAACTTTTCGTTTGATATTTTAATTTTTTTGTGCAAACAGGACCAACAGCAGAAGTACCTGCATGCCTACATACGCTTCCATATGCACTTGCACGAGTTTTGTGTAGGCCGCAGGATCTTCGGTTGAGAAATACATGTGTAAGTCTACGCACATCCAGAGGTCACAGCAACTGACTGACTGCCTGACTGACTGACGGACGGACGGACTGACTGCTGCCTGTCTAGGCTTTTCCACTTGCCATTACAGCAGCTGCAGCGATGAGTTTGCTCCAGCTAAAGTGCATAACAGCGACGACTATTATGCTTTATTTTCCGCTTGACACCTTTGGGCTGCGTTGCGCATTTCCTTTTTGCAGTCAGTGTGCAGTGTAGAGGGGCTTCTCCTCCCTCTGCTAGCTTATGTAAGGCTTTTTCCCCACTGGCTTTTTGTGTGCATTCGCATGCTGGCTCATTTTTTTATGTTGCCCTTTGCGTCACACACTTTAGGCTGGCCGTGTGGCACGGTGTATGGGGCAGCATCTGCATGCATGGCGGCATGGCTCTGAGTGCTGTGGCAGCTTCTTATCAACGTGGAAGTCAACGTCAACGTGCGGCAGAGACGTTCTGGTCTCGTCGTCTGAATTGAAATTTATTATTCTGCTTTGTCGTGCGTGTGTGCCAGGCACTTCTGAGCCACCACCAACAGCAGCAGCAGCTCCGCTTGCACCACCCTTGCTGCAGCAATCCTTTATGAGTGTGTATTTTTTTATATTTTTATGCTGCGCCTACATGCTAGCTGCCTGCTTATTGCGAGTCGTGTTAATTGCTTTCCAGCTGGTGACCTTTGATGTGCACCATTTTTTCTGCCTGTGCACTTAAGGATATTGTTTACATGTCTCAATTATCCTTTGAGTTTAGCGTACTCGCATGCCATTTCGCCGTCCTAGCCCACCTGCCTGACTGCATAAGAACAAAGTTTGAGTTTCTGTTGTTCGAATTTCAAAGTAAACTTTTGACAACCTTGAAGTCTGATACCAAAGCAATGATACGGCAAGGAAGCGAATCGGAACTAAAATTGGATCGAGGGGAAGAGGGGGACCAGAAATTGATTCTCAATTTTCACAGTACGACATTATGAAATTTCTTGAAATGTACTTGATATTTGCTGTATTTAATATTTATTTATCTATATGACATGGCAAGCGGAAAGAAACGTTGTAAATGAGAAGAGACGGACTATTAACTAGGTGTGTTTCCATAGACGTTTGAAGACTATTTAAAATATTTGTGATAATCAAAGTGAACAATTGATTATAATCATAAATAAAGAAACATAAATTATATTATTAACAATTAAAGAATGCGAAATTCTTATTTAAGTGGAAATTGGCTAATTTTCTCTTAAGTCAATGCTTAAGAGAACAATTGATGCTGTCTTCATCGACTTATGAAACCGATTTTCTATATAGGTTTCAAAAGGCGTATTACGTTAAGGTTATTCCTTGAAGTTTGTTGAGTCATAAAAAGTAAAATGCAGACATACAGTTTTAAGTTACAAAAATTATAGAATAAAAAAAGTTTATAAACAATAATATTGCCCACAAGTTCTCAAGTTCTGTTCAAGCTCAATTACGAAACTAGTTAAACATTGATCATTTGATTTTAGATTTGCTATAGTTTCTTATAATCATTATTTATGTGGTTAATATGTCTATAAAACAAAGAATTGTATAAATTATATATGCGTATTCACTTGGTGTCATTAATGCTGCTTTCGGTCTCTAGATTTCAGAATAGCTTTTCTGCTTGATATGCACGGGCTGTTGGGCAACTACAGATTATATGCATAAGTCCGCCGTTTTCATAGTCGATTATGTTAGCCTAATAAGTGTGCTAATTCAGTGGCTGTCCCGCTCTCTGCTAGGGCCGGCTTTTGGCCAGCACTAATTTCGGATAGTCATCAGTGAGCCAGAGGCAATTTGTAAGCCAACTCCGTTCGCAGTCATCGTCGTTTTTGGGGTTTACTTCCTCTAGATGAGACACAAAAAAGTTGTGGCTAGATTTTATTTTTTTTCTGCTGACATTTGCCGTTTCAGCGCTTAGCACTTGCCAAGCGTCTGCGTATGTGCGGGTGTGTGCGAGAAATTATGCTAAGATTGTGTGCACAACTTGAGACAGACTAAAGCCAACAGCCAAGAAGGGACGCCAAGCTGCTGAGGTCAGTTCAGGCTCAAAGTTTGTCGAGTGACATGTAAATCTTGCCCCAGGATGTGCGCCAAAAGAGTTACCCGCAAAAAGCTTAAACTCACAAAAAAAGAAGGAAAACGCAGTCGACATGATGATAATTTGCCGTACTCCGGCCATGGCCATCAGCCGTTACCCAAGAGCTACATTTTCTTTCATGAAAATCAGTTAAATGAGTTTGTTTACATGTCTCAGCTGCGCTGCTGCCTCCGCCGCTGCCGCATATAAAAAATACACTTTAAATGTATGCAAAGTGTTAAGACCTGTGCGGCGCTGGTAAAAATACAGAAGGACGTCAGAGGCTTGCGGTGGCGGCAATACTTTGTCTGGACGCTGTGGCGGCGCCTGCTCCGTTTTTTTCCGCAACCAAATGTAAGAAAAATTCCCATACAATCTGCCTCTTATATTTTAATACCCTAAAAGTGGGTATTTAAATCGTGTGTTGAAAAACGTGATAAGTTAGAGATCTCTAGCTGAATTTAACATATATAAGATAGATTTCGTCAGAATATGTAATAAGGCCAACAACAACGGGTTTCTGTATTACAGAGCTACTTTTAAATGACTTATTTAAAGATAAATCTGTTAATGACAAAGGCTTTACTGAAGACTAAAAGCTGCTTCATGCACATAACTCTAAGTTGTTTAAAAACCTCACGCAGACTCAATTTGCATAGCAACGAAAGCAGCTTAAACTCCAACAGAATCTCATTTTAATTTAAAACTTCATTAAGGGAGAGTCTGCTAAAAATCTGAAAAGCATAAGAGAAAATTCTTACATTAAAAAATTGAGCATTTAAAATTAAATTATTCAAAATATGTGCAAACATAATATATTTACTAAAATGTTCCTTTCTAAATCAGCTTTTCAAA